ATATATATATATATATATATATGTGTATATATATTGTAAAATAATATATATATATACATATATATATAATTTATGACAGCTGAAAACACCTTTGTTTCTTGCTGACAATGAATTCATAAAAACGTACATTTGTGTATTTAATGCATAATAATAAAATATTATATTGTATCTTTCAAAAAAATATATTATTTTACACAAACATAGCATAGTAACTTATACCAAAAATTAATAGAAAGGTTCTTATAGGAATTGTTGCATATTTTTTTAATAATAAAGCGAGGTTATGTAAAAGTACAATATTATCATCAGGTCAAGTATTAACATTCTCGTTAACTTTACCTTAAATCATATAAGGAAAGAATTTTTAACTTATTTTCAAAAAAACATGTTACATACCTTTTCCAGTAGGTTTGCAATTTGATAAGAAACACTAGCCATGATTGAAAACTTTTTTACAGCCGGTTACAGTTGTCGTTCCAATATTCTACGTTATAATGAAACGAAAAGAAAAAAAAATTACGAAGTTTCGTTGGAGCAGACGACACTGAATTCGATTCTGTTTATTCGTTAAAAAATCGCGTTAGAAACTGTATTTTAATGAAATTTCACTGTCGGCAGCATTTCAATACTGCGAATCTTTACCGCAACTTGGACTGCCAAAATTTGGATAGTAATTGCGTTCCAAAACCCAGCGGAACAATAACCGCCTAAAAGAAACATCGGAATACAGCTTCACGATTGGTCGATTTCTTCCTAGTGAGTTGAATTTTACGTAAAGTAAATAGTATTTTTGATACGGTAATATTTTAAATAAAATTCAAATAATAATTTTTTTTCAATTTAGGAAACGTATAGTTGTTTGATACAAAAGATTATATTTGGTCAACTTTTATAATTAATTCAAAGAAAAAAGATTAATTTCATTGAAGAATAAAATAAATGTTTATTTTCTTCACTTCTTATTTTATTAAAACATGTTACAACATTGTCGTTTCAAACTTCGTAATTATACTTACAATATTAATCACATTTTAGATGTTCATATTGTATACTTAAATTAATTTTATAATTTAAATATTTACTGCTTTTTCTTATCTTTTACTTGTCTTAACTTAGTTAAAATTAAAAGGTCTTTGTTATTTAAAGACAAAACATAAAATAGTTATATCTACATTGCTTTAAAAAAAAATAAATAATTTTTTGTACTGACAAATAACAATGAGATAATGCTGTAATAATTTAACAACATTGTCGTTGCACATTTTTAATTCGACTCATGTTCTCCTTCTTTGCTAGGACCTTCACCACTATTTTCCTATTATATCAGTAATGTATTATTTAATATTTTGTTATGTAAATAAATCCATTAATAATACTTTTATTATTTACCTGAATTTCTGAAATATCAGAAGATTCATTCAAAGAATTTTGATTAAGAAAACATGTGATAGGCTTTTGCCACTCTGGAGTTTGTCTTGGATGATATGGATTACCACCTGAATAACTCTTTCCTGAAATCGTATTTTTATTTAATTACTTCCTGATTCAATCATTTTATTAATATTAATATTCTTAATTTATTAAAATTAAGAAATGTACCTTTAGTTTTACTTGTTTCCTTAACAGGTGTGTTTTTTACAGATTTATGTGGTGCTTTGCTACCAACAGCTATAAATAATAATTGTTAATGAAATTTTATTAAAAATGACAATTTTTCGATAAACCAATTAAAAGATAGAAGATAATTTGAGTAAAAGTAAAATATTTATAAAATATAATAGTAAAAAATTAAATCCAGGATTAAGTGTAACTGAAAGTGAAGAAAACAAAGGAACAATAGAAGTTTTTGGAAGAACTTAACGAATGAATTGAATTTTTGCAAATTTTTCTTACCTTTTGTAGGAACACGATCAGCTTTTGTTCTCACCATTTTTTAAGTATTAATAATTTATATTTAAAACTTCAAGAGGTAAAAGATCAAATAACATTAAGAGACTTCGTTACACTATACGGTATTCAAAAAATAAGGTATGAATTCTTATTGCCAATCACACTACTTGCGTGACATCAAGCAGGAAAGCCAACTTAAAAAGAATGTAAATTACAAACAATAGATAATTTAAAACATAGAAATCTTAATTATTTTAAACGCGTTAGATTTTATAAATTATAATTATTTCAATGTATGAAATTATATATTTTTGTAATACTTTAATATAAAATATATTACAAACATTGCATCGTCTATTTTTAAATATTTCAAATTAAATTTATAAATAAATGAAAAGTCATTGTAACAATAGTATATTTTTATTTAAAAAGAGTATTATTGCCACTCGTAACAATTTCACTTAAGTAAAGATATTTTCAAATAATTTTGCATTTGGAGGAATATTTAAAATTTTATTTTAAATATTTTTATGTTGTATTTAAAGTAGCATTACATTTACTGATTGATAAGTTTCTTTATACAAATTACTTTCAAGAAATTAAATTATACTATGAATTTTTGACGATATTTCGTCATTATGACATCACGTTGTAATACTGATGCTTTATAATCTCATTATTTCGTAATAGTACTATATTTCAAGGAATAAAGCATTGTGAAACTTACTTTTAATTAATTAACAAAATAAAAACAAATTAAAATTACGTAAAATAATTTATATATGTATACATATAACTACATATATCTATATTACATTAAACAGGCCCTTTTCTTTTTTTATGTGAGATATAGTAATTATATCTCGCGTAATATCTCAATTATAACAATTTTTTTTGTGGATGGTTATACAAAATGTTTCGTTTTTGGACAATAATCGTGTACTTTGTTAGTACATTTATAAACTTTAAAAGAACGTAAAATACACTTTCGTGCAAAAAATATGGCTATGTCGTAAGTGTACATTATGTAACTTAATTTTAATACTGAATCACAGAAACCCGTTAATTGGGTAAGCAATAAATTACATTCTTAAAGAAGTCTGTGTCCTTCTTGGGAACGAATTTGTGCTTGCATTGAAAAGGAAGTGATATTAATTTTGAATAGATTGTCTAGTACTGTTTGCAACATTTAAAATATATAAAATCGTGATGAAACATGTGTTCATATTTTTTCTCATTTTAGGGAGAAAATATAAATGTTAAAAATATCAAGCAAAACAAAATTTCAATGAACTTTCTTTCCATTCCACTTATAATATAAATATAAGAATTATTCAAATGTTACTCTAAAGACAGCACAGAAATGACATTCGAAATTATTAATCTAGTTATTACTTTCAAATGTTGATCCAAACGTTTAGCAATGTGAATATATCCTGATAATTCTTTTGATAATATGCAAATTGCAATTTACACTAAACTTATGAAATTGAAGGTATTTCGAAATTAACGCTAAGATTTTCAGATTGTGCTAATTTAACAATCGTTGATAATTTAACCGCAACTCGGGCAGCTTCATCAAGATCATCAATTGGTACAATTTTTAATCCTGCATTTGCGATAAGAGCCTTTGCTTCGTCTACATTTGTACCCTGAAATAATAATAAAATTAAATAAAATTAAATTTGTACCTCAACTGTTAGTTTCAATAAAATGTTTATATGCATTTAAAATTATATATACTTGTAATCGCACAACAACAGGAATCTTTAAACTAAGTTCTTTAGTTGCAGCAATGATTCCTTCTGCAATAACATCACATCTCATAATTCCACCAAATATATTAACTAAGAGAGCGTGAACCTATATTGAGATAGATGAGAAATATTTATTAATTTTAATAATATTAAACTGAACAGTTTTTTCTTATAGATTAAATATAAAAATTTATATTTACTCGAGGATCAGATGTAATTATTTTAAATGCTTCTTTCACGGCAGACGTGGATGCACCACCACCTACATCCAAGAAATTAGCTGGTTCTCCTCCATGTAATTTTATAATGTCCATAGTAGCCATAGCTAAACCAGCTCCATTTACCATACAGCCAATGTTGCCATCAAGTGCAATATAATTTAAGTCATATTTAGCAGCTTCAACTTCTTTAGTATCTTCTTGAGTCCAATCTCTCAAAGAAAATAATTCCTTTTGTCTAAATTCAGCATTATCATCAAATCTGCACTTGCAGTCCAAAGCAAAATCTATATATTAAAAAATAAAGTTTTTGATATAAATGTTACTTTTTATAATGTACAGTAAGTTACACTTTTTTTCTTTAATTGAACTTACATTGTCCATTAACATCTTCTGCTAAAGGATTTACTTCTAATAAAAGAGCATCTTTTTTAAGAAACATTTTATACAAATTCATAATGATATCAGAAATATAATCTTTAACATTTTGAAGTCCAAGTTTAACAGCAATACGTTCTGCTTGATCTTTTGTAATACCCTTGTAAATATCAATAGGTTCATACATGATAGCACTAGGATTTGTTGCAGCAACTTCCTCAATATTTACACCACCTTGACTTGAAGCTATTATAACTGGACCCTCAAATAAAAAATGTTTTAATTAGATGTACTGTTACTTTATTAACTGAAATTATATTCATTCAAAAACTTACACCAAAGGCTCTTTCCATCATGACAGCAAGGTAGTATTCTTTACGAGGAAACATTCGCTGTGTTACCATTACTGCATTGCATATTCTCCCTGCTTCACCTGTTTGTTTAGTAATTAACAATTTCCCTAACATTTGACTTGCTAATTTTTTTGCTTCTTCTGGTCTATAAAGAAATAAATATAGTGTATAGGACATATATTTGTTATTATATATATACATATATATAATAACTTACGTTTCACACATCTTTACACCACTGATATTAGTCCCTTTAAAATGTCCTTTTCCTCTACCACCAGCTAAAACTTGGGCTTTTAAAACTATATCTTTGGTCTTCAAGTCAGCAGCAAGTTTTGCAGCTTCATCTGGAGTTTTAGCAACACCAAATTTAGGAGTTGGAACTCCAGCTTCATTTAATAAACTATAACTGATGTGTTCATGAACATTTAAGTTCCTGACTGGTTGCTTTACTAAGTTGGTTTTGCATCCCAGTATCTATATGAATGAAAGAACAGGAATAACAGCAAATAATAGCAAATAAAGCTTATATAACATATATCTATTGATAATGTATATGATAATAATAGTTAAATATAGTGTAGTATTAAATAATTAGTTATATTTAGTATAATAAATATAATTATCTTCTAATATAAAGTTATATTATAAAATCTTAAAAGTAAAAAAGTAAATTTGAAAACATTATAGAAAACAAAACTATCTATAGTTCTTGAACTTTAAATAAGATTTAAACCTTCAGACTTAAAAATATTCTAAACTCAAAGATCAATCAGTGGTAATGACCCAAATACTTGTAATCACATCCTTGGCACTTGTATTCTATTTTGTTTTAGATAAATAAACATCTTAATTGACTAAAACAAAAGTAAATAATAAATAAAAAATAATTAAGATGGAACAATGTAGAGATACAAAAAAATGACAAACAATTAAAAAAAAAAAAAGACAAAATCGATACAGTTAGTATTCGATTATTTAAATTTCAAATTTTCGAGAAATATGATAAGTCTTCGTGGTTTGACGAGTATTATTCATTTTCGCATAATTTAATAACTATTAATTAAATACGAATAAACGAATTAGAATCAATGACTAACGAATCAAAGGTTAATTATGGAGATGTCCACACTTATATTACACAACTGTCATACTCGTATTTCGTAAAAAAATTAGGTTTAGTGCAAGGCCACAATCTTTGGCTTCGAATAGTCTGACCCTGGCGCCCAATTTAGCAGACTACAGACATCTAATATGGTGATTATTCCATTTATGAATCATTGGCGTAAATATTGATGGTTTTAAAGAAATGGAATTAAAGGATATACGTTAATATGAATTTCCATAAATAAATAAAATAGTATGACAATAAGAATGAAGCAGCTAACATACCTTCGACCCATTGAATCGGGTAATATTTTCAACGAGTGAGATAGCCCGAGACAACATGGTAGCCATCTTACTAAAGCAGTGGCAGTGGACTGCGAAGTGTAAGCTATGCCTTCATGTCCCCACCTTTCTTGACGTTTCCTATAAAAACATGACGCAAACTCCACGAGCGGAACCCACGATGGCAGCACTATTTTATATTACGCAAATTTCGCTAGAAAATTTTCATCTTCATTTAACATCGAGGATATGAATACAATATATTTTATATTTTATTCATTTATTAAGTTTTCATATAATTTTATTTTTATGAATTAAAATCTCAAAAATATATTAATATCAATAAGTATTAAAGGAAATACTAAAATCTTGAAACATTTTATAATTATAAATTAAAAATGGACGAAATTTAAAAATTTTAAGAATAAATTATTACATCATAAATTCGAAAAAAGAATTTATTTTTTATAAATATAAGTCTTTACATCTTCACAAATTTGTATAACATAAAAAGAATAAAGGTAATAAGTGTTCATAGCTTTTGTACATTTTACAACGTTACAAGTTTTGTTTGATTTTAAAATGATTAATATACATATAAACGAATAAAAAAAGTTACATATATTTCAAAATTATTACATGATATCTTTTAGATTATATTTATAAAAATGTAGAATTTTATTTTATTCCGACGTACCGCGTGTTTTTTGTAGGTGTTTCTTTAGATGTAAAAGAAATGTCTAAATTCATGGAATTTGCAGCTTGTACCACTAAAGCCAATTTTACAGCTGCTTCCGCAGCTTTAGCAAAATCGTCTACGGAAATAACTTTTAATCGTGCTTCGTGTATCAATTTTTTTGCTTCTTCTACATTAGTTCCCTATGTGATGAGCATATCAATAAAATCTCTAACAGCATACAATATTTCTCTATGAATATTCAACTAATTACCTGCAGTCTCACAACTATTGGAACTTTCAAACTTAACTCTTTCGATGCAGTGGTAATACCTTGCGCGATAATATCACATCTCATAATACCACCAAATATATTTACGAAAATTGCTTCTACCTGAAAATATGTAGAAATTGTATGAAATATTACATGTAATTTTAAAAAGTTTTTTAGCAAAAGATTTAATATGAAAATGTCATGATTTTATTTAAAAAAAAATGTAAGTACCTTTGGATCAGAGATTATTATTTTAAAAGCTTCCTTTACTGTTTCTGCAGTAGCAGTACCGCCCACGTCTAAAAAATTAGCCGGCATTCCGCTGTTCAATTTTATAAGATCCATAGTAGCCATTGCCAATCCAGCTCCATTTACCATACATCCTATATTTCCATCTAAAGCTATATAACTTAAATTAAATTTAGATGCTTGAACTTCATTAGGATTTAGTTGTGAAAAATCCTGTAGCGAAAACAATTCTTTTTGTCTAAATTCGGAACTTTCGTCAAAAGAACATTTACAGTCTAAAGCAAAATCTAAAAATGTGTAATACTTATGTTATTGACAATGGCTTTTAATTTAAAAAATTCAGTAAATTTTTTCTTATGACATACATTCTCCACAAATGTCTAATGCAAATGGATTAATTTCAAGCAATAAAGCTTCTTTTTCAATAAACAATTCGTAAAGATTGCAAATAATTATTGAGGTAATTTTTTTGCCTTCTCCTTCTATACCTAATTTATCCACAATTTGATTTACTTCTTCAGGTGTTAAACCTTTCATAATGTTTACTGGTGTATATGATATAGCTTCCGGATTCGCAGCGGCAATATCTTCGATATTTACACCACCTTGTTTAGATACAATTACAACAGGACCCTATAAATTACATTTCATTTTTATTTTCAATACAAAAATTCAACGAATAGATTAATAAAATATCGAAAATTACATCAAAAGAAGTTTCCAACATTACTGCTATGTAATATTCTTTTCGTGGAAACATACGTGTGGTCACCATTACTGAATTGCAAATTTTTCCAGCCGCTCCAGTTTGTTTAGTTATTAATAATTTGCCTATCATATTGCTGGCCAGAGTTTTGGCTTGTTGGGGTCTAAAAATTAAGTTAAATATAATATAAAATAAATGTAATAATACAATTAATTTAACTGGTTAAACTTACGTTTCACACATAACAACACCGCTGACATTGGTATCTTTAAAATGTCCCACTCCACGTCCTCCTGCGAGAACTTGAGCCTTTAAAACAATATCCTTTGTCTTGAGATCTGCTGCTATCTTTTCAGCTTCGTCTGGAGTTTTAGCTACTCCAAAAGGTGGAGTTGGAATTTCAGCATCTTTCAATAAAGTATACGCAACATATTCGTGAACTTGAAGATGTCGAATTTGTTGAACAGCAACAGAAATACGATTTAAAAACTGAAAATATTTTTTTTAATGATTGATATTTTATAACTACTTATAATATACACTATTTACCTGTTTTCCTACTATTCGAGCGTAAATTGACGTAAGTGACGAGAATCCGATGGACATGTTGGCAACAATTAATTTTAAACAATTTTATTGCTATAAAAAAGAAGTTTGTTTAACACAAAAAATTATTTAGCTTTTATCCAAGTATATAAAGAAATGCTTCTTCATATGCAAAAGATTGAAAGAACTGCTTATAAAAGCAATCTATATTGAAATTGTAATTATGAATAAAACTTATGTTATAAAGTTTGCAAAGTCAAGTAGGCGATGAATACAAAATTTCATAACACCGTATTTGTAATTATAATGCTAGATTGTACAATGATGTTTACATTTGAAAAATATTTCAATAATAAATTCACGATAGGATGTTTCATAAAAATTATTACATTCGTATATCGAACCATGTCGCGCAATATAGAAAACTTGTAAATCGCAGTACATTCGGTGGGATGATAAATTTTAGTAAACTATAAAATTATTCGTTTGATTAAACGAAATTTTTATATTGTAATGAATATTGAATTTTTTTACTTTTTGTATGTGTGTATATGTACATACATGTATTAAATTATGTTAATAAAGTGAAATATAAAAGCTCAATTTACAACATACTTCTATGCATACACTATGTGTACTTTAATTACGATTTTCTTACAAGCACTTATAGTTATTAAATACATATAACAAAAAGAAGTACACACTACATTATAACTATATACGTCGTTCATATATCGTGGTATTCGATATATTCTAAATGTGAATAAACCTTGTATCTATACCATAAATTTATTCCTCAACTCAGACTTATTTTAGGAACTACGTCCTTAACAAAATTTCTAAAATTCTTGTAGTTCGAATTTAATAATAGTATTCAATTTTTCTGTTACTAGTATTATTTGTTCCTAGATGTAGAAATTAAACTTGTATTATTAAGGCTATATTTTTCTTCTGTAAAATATATTAAGTGCAACAAAAAAAGTTTTTATATCCAAATGATCGCAATTTCGAAATATATAAGTTTAAAATAAAAATATTATTAAATTATTAAAGAATTAAATTTTATTAGCTTAACAAAAACTAAGATTTATTTTTTATGTTTAAAAGGATTACTTGTTAATACAAAAATTTACTGTGAATTTTCATCTTTACATATATAACAAAAATCTCTTAAGGAGAAAATGCAAGCCAACTTATTATATTATCATATGTAATTTTTATACTAAAATATTAGAAGGTAATGTCAAACATACAAGATAATGTAAATATTGAATTTATTATAAATTCTATGCACCTAATACTTTGAAATATAAATGTTCTATACTTTAGAACTTAAAAATAATTTGCATGCTATTTGAAATAGAAACAAGAAAAATTGGGAACATTTGAGTTAGATGAATAGCTTTTCACATGATGCAATTTTAATATTAATGCAATCAATAAGACAGAATTACGATATCCTGTATCTATGTTTCAAGCATAAAATTTCTGGCCTCAACAGTCTTATATTCTAAATACAAAACAAATTTTTTTTTTTTTCAATTTAAAAACTAAATCTATCATTAAGCGTTCTTCCCGTAACACCGAGATTTCCAGACAAGCTATACATGACTTCGCTGAAAGTGCGATCATCGACATTCGCTCCTGTGTCTGATGATGGAGTGTTACGTGTGCGAGAACGGGAACGTGACCTTGACCTTGAACGCTGTTGGCTAAACATAGGTGATCGACCAACCTAAAATCCATACATTTCCTCCTTACAGTAAATTGTAAAAATTATGTACAAGTCCCTTTTTTTTTTTTTTTTTTTTTTTTTTTAACCATAACTACCCATAATATTTTTATTATCGATTTTTATGTATCATACCATATTCAAACTTTGTACGCTTTGTCTAAATGGGGATCGTCCTCTTGGCAATGGGCGCAAACTGTTCACAGCACTTCCGTTTCGGCTTGGTGTAAGAGTAAGAGGGCGTTGATGCGTATTTGGACTGTATTCATTTCCCAATGTACACATGAAGTTTACATTTGAGTTTGTACTTAATTGTGAAGAACTAGAACATTGTATTCATTCAATAAATTCAGTACAAAGTAAAATTAAAAATTAAAGATACAGAAGAATTTAAATATAATTGTCCTGCTAATATGTATTTATATTTATATGAATTTTTTGTAAGCTACTCAGGATGATAAATTATAAAATGTTTAAGCATACTTCATTCTCATTAATTTTTGTTCATATTGCGCACGTCTTTGTGCACGAGCAATCTGATCTGATCGCAATCCACCAGTGGTAAAGCGACGCTGAGATGTTAAAATTTGTTGTCTTCTATCCGTGGATCTCTGTTGAAGTGATATCAATGATTTTCCAGCCTGTGGAACCTATAAAAAAAAACAATCAATTCAATTCCATATTAATTATATTTACAATTCACGATATATAGAATATCAACTTACTCTGAATTGATTTTGTAAAGATAATCTCTGATTTTGTCGCTGCAGTAATAATTGTTTTGCTCTTTTAACACGATTTCGATAAGCAATCTGAGCAGGGCTCTGATATCCCAAACGATTATGAACTGATGTTGGATCACGTAAATTTGGTAGACTGTTTGTTCTTTTTAATGGAGTCTTATTATTAGTGAAAAAGCCTCCTTGTTTAAAAGTCAAATTTGTGCGACTTCTACTGCGAGTCAAACCAAATCTGTTGCCGCGACCACGGCGAACATTAAAAGCTCCTCGTGTATTAGGTTTCTGATTTATTGTTAAATTACTTCGTGATCTAGTGAGACCACTATTTTTCTTGTAACGTTTTCTTACAAATCCACCACGCACATTATTGTTGTTATTATTATTATTGTTATTTTGCCCAGTTTGCCATGTTTGCTCTTTTTTTGCAGTTCCAACATTACGCTTTACTCTAGCACCTCTACCCCTGATTCCACTTCGCCCTCGCGCACTTCCTCTAGTGCGTTTAGCACCAGCTTTTCCATTGGCAGTCCCAGCCTTTTTCTTTTTCTCCTTTTTCTCCATCTTTATGATTTCATCTTAAAAGGAAGAAAAGTCACAAAGTTTAGTGAGCATAGTCCTACCAGTGCATGAAGTTAATTTGTGTTAAGCTTTAATCTGGAATATGTGAAAAATTTCCTCTTGTATGGATGATGTTGAAGGACAACTCAATATGGCTAATTCAGTTTCTATTTAATTCCTTTAAGTATATCGATCTTTTCTGTATTTATTTTTGTTAATTTTCCCTGATTTTCTTCCAATTTGTATATGTACTTTCAAAATAATCCCATTGGATATGATCTAGGTATTCATATGTGTGTATATATATATATATATCTATCTATCTATCTAACTATCTATCTATCTATCTATCTATCTATCTATCTATCTATCTATCTATCTATCTATATATCAACATGTTTGAATTAAATACAATAAAACAGTAACTTGGGACTCATGTATTTATCAATTACTCTTTAAGTTTAAAACATGCTACTAATTTATTAATCATAACATCAAACAAAAAATAACAATAAAGACCACTATACTAAATTAAAATGTACAAAAATACTAAGGTATTATAATTCGGCAGATGATAAAGTTTAACACTTTAAAATACTACTATTTTGTATAAAATAAATTTATATATATATATATATATATGTGTATGTATAGATATAAATTTAATTAAATATCTTTTATACAGTTTTTCATAAAGTATTACTTTAAAATTATAATTGTAATCAAAAATTTTATTCTATAGAGCAAGAATTATTTGCTTATATAAAAAGCATTATTTGCTAGTTTAATTAGTAATAACAAATCTCCATATGTATTATACTCTATATCCTCTTTTCTTCAATATATTATTAATTAGTAATATATCTTTGTATATATTAAATCCTTTATTTTATTTTGTACAAATTTCTGTACTTTATGTTTCCACTTTCTTTGTGCAATTTTCATTTTAATCTTCTAATGATATTCCAACTATTTATTTATTAATATATAGATTTTATGTGTATTTCCTTGCATACTGAGAGTTCTTCATATTTTTACAACTCTTCATACAAGAGTTCTTCACAACTTTTATATTTGTATGTACAACATATTTCTATTCATATGTCTATCCTTTGATTCAATGTATATCTTCAAAATATAATTTCTTACATCAATTATACTATGTGGTCAGTTTCGCTTTGTCCTTTCACTTCCATTCCAAATAAAGAACATAATCACTATTCAGTGATTAAAGAAATGAACTATCTATATTGTTTTTTGTATAATATTAGTATGTAATGTCAATTATACTTAACAAAATTATAATTGGATAAATATTTTGTGATGCAATAGCATATCACGATTTCTGATAGATATTGATTTTCTTCAAAAGTAAGGTTTTTTAAAGGTTGTCTTCTTTTGTCTAATATAAACTCTTCATTTGTAAGCATCATAAACCAATAATTTTTCTCATTCCTTTTTTGCTTCTAGATAAAAGTTTGTAGTTTATGTAAAATTGCTCTCATTCGTTGAAATAGATGACATCAAAATTTAGATCCAAATGAAGGAAAACCAGTTATTTTATTTAATAACTGATTCAGTTAAAATATTTAATAATGGATGAGTCTTCTTGTAGTTTTATATACCTTTATTGTTTAAACAACCACTTTCAGTTGGGCCTTTAACTTTTGATAATTTGTTTAATAAAAAATGCTTCTGCTGATTCTAAATAATAGTTTTATATATCATGGAGTATTCATTTATGTATAATACATACTTTTAAGTGACAAATAGAACATATTTAATTGTAAAGATATTATTCTGGATTACACATTTGTCAATATAAATATCATTTTCTTTCATAATTTAATTAAATTTTCGAATTCAATGGCGACTATTATTTGTCACAAATATTTCGTACATTTTCACGTCATAGAACGCATGATACGTTGAAAATAAAATAGATTTGAAAATTTCAGCGTGCTTTTATCTCACGTATGGTATAGCTTTTCAAGTCCTTCACATGAACAAAGAGAAACTCGAGGAACATGATAGCAGAGATAAAAATACGACTAAAGTTACGCAAACGTATATCCCACGTAACGAGAAAGTTGACTTCTTTTCGTGAAGCATGAATCACAACTTCGTTTGCGTTATTGTCCAAAAATGTCCCGTTCATGTTCGTCAATTTTCCATGCAATAAACTGTCGTGTTATTGTCAAAAGAAATCCCTCTCCACCAATCCTACGTAACTTATAGTACTTTCCCAGACTGTATAATCTTTCATGGCGGCTATACTTTTCTTCTTTGTTACTATCTTTCATTAGTAGAAACCTGTATCTATTTCATTCCTATTGCGTGCATACGGTCGGAACTGAATGGTTTTTTTTGAAAATCCGGAATGAATACACATCACCATATAGGTTACTCGACCATTATAAATGGCGAAGATATTTTCTTCCAGGGATCAAAAGACAGCACACGTACTCCCATAAGTAAACATCAATTAAAATGTGTCTTTTTGCTTAAGAATTAATTAGGGAGACAAAATGATCCTGTATCAAAAGTTGGCTTATTGGTTGACACCGACTCTTTTTTTGAGATCTATTACCATTGGGTATTAAACGAACGAAAATAAATGTGGATATCTACGTTGTATAATTTCATCGCCATTTTGAATTCGTGCAAAAGAAGAAACAGTAGCCATACGCTCACCCAGGATTATTAGCAAAACTGCTAAATTTTCGAGACTTTGGCCACTTACCAAGCGACATGTTCACTTTCGCGTCAATCTCAGACATTATGTTCGTTCTGTTTCTGTCTCTTTTTTTAACGCGAAATACACGAGGACTGCAAATAAATCACTCAAATTATTTCTATAACGTCACCACAGATCATACGCAACAATACCACACGACGCACCGATCGCGAGTGAACGTAAATGGCCAGCTGCAGGAAGCATCGTCATATCATACCGGAAATTGTCACTTCTTCCATACCGCGAAAAGTTTGAACTGGTATAAACTCTAGTTTTTGTAATTAATTTAAATACAATTTTTTTATTTTTAATATTGAATTTAGGTATCCTAAAGTATCTAATTAATATATTTTTTATCAAATGATGTATATTACTTTTGTAATCCTCTTTTTTGTATTATTTAGATATAAATAAAACACTGTACTATAAGCAAATTTTATAAACGTATGTAACCTTATATAATCTATAAAAATTAAATGTATATATTATGAGTAAATATAATTCTTAAATTATATTTTTTGAATGGAATGAATAATAATTATTACAAATCAGATTTTGCAATTGTTCAATAGATTTCTCGCGTTTTTTAAACGTGTAAAATTATGCATTTTACACATTCATAGATGTTATTACTTTATAAATGAAACTATTTTGATAATGATTACAAATTTTATAATATATTATAGTTTTTTTAATGTTATTACCTTTAATAGCCCTAGGTTTATTCATTTGTTAAAAAACAATAGATTGCATAATGGTTTGATTAAAATAAGTTAATGCAAAAATAAATAATTAATATTTCATATGGAATAATGGATAATAAAAAAGTAAAATTATAATTCAGCTTAGATACTTAGAAGAATAAAACTAATATTATTCATATAAAAATTAATTTCTATAATTTTAATTGCAGTCTTCTTATTTATTTTCTTCTTCTGAATCATTACTTGCCCAAAATGCAATTGGCAGAATTTTTATTCCAGAAGTACCTTTACAAAAAGATGATGTAATTATTGAAGAAGATGACTCAGATTTGCTGTCACATAGTGATATGAGTTGGGGATCTATGGAAGATAGATATGTATCATATGAAATTGTATCTGAAGAGTCAATGTCAACTACATCAGATTCTTCTTCTAGCGTAACATTTATTCAACATAAATTTTATTTCATTTTGTAATATAATTAAAATAATTACAATTTACTTATTTTTACAGACCAATCTGTCATTTTCATTACTTGATCAAATATCACTTTCAATAGATCAAAAGATGATAGAATGTGCAACTGAAAGTAATTGGGGTAGTTATGCTTTAGATGTTAATTTATGGAATGATGATAAAGCACCTATTGTGAAATTAAGAAATCTTAAAGATATATTATTTGATGATCTAGAATTCTGTGGTTTTTTATCTGACAGATTAATAGCAATAGGAAAATCATTTTTAACTAAGTCTCCTGAAAATGGTCTTTACATATTAAGTAAATGTATCATGAGAAATATGGTATACTATTTAATATTATAAAAGTTATTTATTTTATTAAACAAATATCATAAAAAAAATTCTTTTACAGTCACTTACAAATATTACAATGTTAAATTATCATCGTTATTTGCAATATATTGATCTTGCATATAATTATATTTCAAATTTATCACCTCTGCAAGGAGTTCCTTATTTAATGTATCTAAATGTAGCACATAATAGAATGAATACTATCCTAAATTTTTCACCACCTTGGTACTTAACATTTGTAAATTTATCATATAATTACATATCAAAAATGTGTGACATTAGTGACTTCTGGAGTATTGTTCACTTGGATTTATCACATAATGCAATTGAAACTATTTATGGTTTGCAAAATTTGAAGTTAGTATATTTTGTCATATAGTTAAGTACAAAATGACTTCATTTATACATTATGCATATTTTATTCTTAGATATTTGAAGTATTTAAATTTATCATATAATTTAATCGAATATATTGAAAATTTGGATAGACTAAATATTCAAGAATTAAATTTAGAAGGTAATTGTATACTTTCATTCAAATCCACTATACCTGGTTATGGTATAAATACTTTATCCCATTTGCGAAAATTATATTTAGGATATAACAAATTATCTACTTTAGAATTTTTTAAGGTAATAATTTTTATATAATCGTAAATAACATGAAATTGTTAATCAAATGTATAAAATGTCAAAGAATTTCTCTAAAATTTTAGGATGCATATAGCTTACGTGTGATAGATTTAAAGTTCAATAGAATCAATGATTTGTTAGAATTATTAATTTTTAAAGGGTTAATACAAGAGATAGATTTCAGAGGTAATGGCTGCACAAAATGGCCTAATTATAAAGCTGTACTTTTATTTTCCATTCCAAGTATACAAATTATCGATGGTACTGATGTATCTACTTCAGAAAAAGTATGCAATAAAATACAAAAAATTATTAACTGAAGGTATCATAGAAATTATTTAAACAGATTGCTGCTGTAACTTTATTTGCATCACCAGTAAATTTAACAGCTGCTCGTACTATCACAAAATTAACTTTGTTAGAACAATTAAACACTCCTAAAATTGACTTACATGTAACACCATATGATGAAGTGAGTCCACCTTTGATAATACTTACTGGTCCAAGTGCAGTAAGAAAATTGTCTTTAGCTCTTCATTCTGCTCAAACATTATCAAAAAAGGTAATATCCTAATTAGTTTTTAATACATCAAACTAAGGTAGCACTTTATTATAGGTAAAATATTGTCGATGGTATACAACAAAGAAGTCAGAGGACCATGAAACTGAAAATCAATCTTATATTTTTGTAAACAGAGAAGAATTCAATGACATGTCTCGTCGTGGAGAGTTTTTAGCAATTCAAGAAAATTTAGGAAATAGCTATGGTTTTCGTTAGTTAGATACATTAAATTTTCTATTACAATATTTGTTAATATATTATTAATTAATAACAACATATTAATTTATATTTATGTAGACCGCAATCAAATTATTTCCTTAAAATTAGAGAACAAGATTGGTATCACGCAAATGGATTTACATGCAACTATTCAAATGAATAAACGATACTCTAACATTAAAGTAGCTCTTGTATTTACAAAAAATGAAGAAATCCATCGTGAATGGATACAAGAAAAATTTTATGTTTATACATGTTCTAAAGACAATCAAGAAGATTTATTATGTGAAGGAAGTCCACCAATGACTACAGAAAGCGAGTTAAATTTTATTCAAGAAATTTTAAATAATGTATGAATAATTTTGTATTTTTATTATAGTACTTAAAATTATGACACTATAATTATTATTGTAAACTTGTTTATAGATTATAAAAGATCTTAAATTATCTTCTAAAATATATCTCACAAAACGAAATGATGCAACATTTGATATTGCATTAGAAAATGAAACATTAAATGATATCAAAGAAGAAGAAAGTATAACAGAAATGGAAGAAAGAGCATCACATCATATTAAATTTCAGGAAGAAATTGATTCAGAAATAAAAAGTTATGATGCTCTATATCATGAACACAAAGGACTACGAGTATTGAATTTACATCACAAAGTATCAGTGCATCACGATAATTAAATTTGTTTGTAGGTAATTTTAGATGAACATGCAAATGTCATAGTGGAAGATGAACGATTAAAACGTAAAAGACATCAAGCAAAATTACTACATCGTCGTGATACACTGATACGAGGATCAGAGTATTTGTCTACAGCAGAACTCAGTGAATCAATTTCTAGTGAAGAAGTATTAACAAAGAGAGTTCGTATTAAGAAATTTACTTTTTCTTTCTTTTGACATTAATATTGCATTCAATTAATAAATAAATTCAATTATAAATAAAATAATACAAATTTATGATTTATTTTAAGTTGCCAGAAACAGAAAAACCAGAACATATGAAAGATTTTTATACTAAATTAATACTGAAATCAAGAAAAATATACTTAGACCAACATGTGAATAAACCTGGATTTTTTTCTTTAGTGGTAACATTTTTAATAAAAGCAAATGAAATTCGTAATTTATTATAGAAGATACTTTTCCAGCTACTAACAGATGATTATGTTAAAGCATTTAATAGATTGATTAATTTTATTTATGAAATATATACAAATTATTTATTTGAAAAACCTAAATTTTTATCTGAGCTGAATCATTTTTCAAAAATTGCAATTCCAGCAATGATTAATCCTATCATTGATGAAATGAAACAGTAAGTTTCAATTTTTTTCATATTACTTATTACATGTAATACTTTTTTGATATATATAAATTTATAGATCTTTATCAACTTCTACATTACAAAGAAGAACCTTATTAAGAATGTATGGTGTTTCTTCGTGGAAAGATTTAATGCCTAGTCAAATGACAGAAAATTCAACTAATATTACTCATTAGGTATAAGGTAAATATTCAAACATAAAGTTGTATAATCATATTTTATTAATCGCTTTTTAGTTTTAATTTTATATATGTTTATTTTGTATAAATTTTATTAATAACAGTCCATTGGTAAATAATAATTAATTCTACATAAAATGAACACATTTTGTTAGAAATACTTTTATACAAGGAACTCTCAATTGATACAAGATATATATATTTATTATCTCTGTACTTATTTGTGTAGAGTTGCTTCACATAATGTTCTATTAAGTTTAAAAAATATAATAATAACTATGTGTACATTTTAAAAAATAATATGGTTTGTTTAAAATATTTTTTAAAACGTGCTAAAATATGAATTATTCTTAAAAATCTAAGGTTTATGTTCCAATGTAGTCACATGTGCATTTTGTCAATAGGAGGAAGATTATTGCTTAAATGTGTTGTATTTGATGGTTCTATGATTACTTGTAAATTTGTATTATAGTTTGTACTTCCCAAGGATACCTTTTGGTCACTAAATGTAACTGCAAAAGAATTTTCATCAATTTGAGGTAAAGGATTTTGTAAAAGTACAAATCTCGCTTGATTATCAATAATATCTAGTTTAGAACGATTCATTTGAATCCATGTTTCTTGTAGTACACTATGTTCAGAATCTATATTCTTTGATACTTCATGAACTTCTGGTTCTACTTGAAGAACTGTACACTGTGATCGTTTAAGATCAAATTCATTTATATCAGAATGATATTTCATATGATCATTTAAACTTTGTTTCTGTTCAAATATCAAATTACAATAATTACATCTACAAATAAAATAATTAGAATAAATGGATACCACATAGAAATTAAAAGTTTTTAAGTGTACTTACTGATGCTGTGTTTCTTTAATCTGTTTTGTTTTATTTTCAAATGGATCATGAATTTTTTGATGAGCAAGCAAATTATATCGTTCTGCAAAACGTTTTCCACATGTTGTACAACTATATGGTTTTTCACCTGTATGAACTCGCATGTGCCTTTTCAAATGAGATGTTGAAAACAAAGATAAATCACACATCTAAAACATAGAGTTTCTTAGATATACATTATATGTATAAAAGTATATGTATTAATTATTACATACTTGACATTTATAAGATTTCTTTCCACTGTGTGATAATCTGTGCATATTGTATGATGTATGATGTATGAACCTTTTACCACACAATTCACATTGGTAAGGCATTTCACCAGTGTGTATTGGTAAATGTCTCATAAGTGCACCTTTTTGTGTAAAACACTTATTACAAAAATTACACTGAAATGGATTTATCCCATTATGCATTCCAACATGTATTTCTAATGCATGTTTATGTTTATATGCTTGACCACACTTTTCACACATGTATGGTTTTAACGTTGAATGTGTTTTTATATGTGTTTTTAATTCAGCTGATGTTTTCCATCTTTTATCACAAGTAGGGCAAGAATATTTTAATACTTTTAAATCATATTTTGATAATTCTCCTGATTTTATAGGTATTTTTATTTGATCAATTGTTGTCGCTATATACATATATAAGGAATTAAAGGAATTAAAAAATATAATTAATGACTGAATAAATGATTAAAATTAAATTTATGGATAATGAAAGGAATCACCTGTTATATGGTCAGCATTTTCCTTTATTTCTTTAATATTTTCTTCTATCTCTTTCCACTTAAAATTAATATTTTGTACTTGTAATTTACTGTCACAAAATATTGAATCTGTTCTGAGAGGGTTTTTGGATTCACTCTTTTCAGAATTTACTAGAGAAATCACATTTTTTTCTCCAACATGTAGTTTTAATGCATGCACACTTGCTAAACAAATGTAAACAAATATTTCTGTATATTTTTAATACTAATTTTAAATTTATGTGTTTTAAAGGAACAAATGTTACATTCATTTATAGATTTAAATAATTCTATTTTACCTTGTGAAGTAATACTACATACATTATCATCATTAGTTAACACTATTGAATTATGAATCATATCATTTTTTAAAATTTCATCTTTTTTTATATCATGATAAGTATTATCATAATTAAATGATTTTATATTCTCTGCTTTGTTATAATCAATTATTTTCTTTTTTAAATGTTTCTTTGAGTCTGCAACAATTTTTGTATTCATGACACTGTCTGTATTTGAATTACTTATATCTTGACTAACTATATTATCTTGAACACATTGTTGTTGTACTATTTCATCAATTTGAGTACTTTGTAAACTTGATATCCGTTTCAGGGTTTCATCACTATTATTCAACTTTTTTTCTTCCAATGCCATATTTGTACTCATGTTCAATTTTGTATCACTATTTATTGATTGTTTAATATTTTTTCTTCTTTCAGTAGTACGGTAAATTTTCAAAATTTCACAACGTATGTTTAAAACAGTTTTCTGAGCTTGTTCTAACATTTGAAATAAGTTATAACATTGTGAACAAATATAGGGATCTTGTAATTCAGAAGTAGTTACACGAAGTACCCGTGATACAAAATTTACTAATAATTCTCCGTGACGAGGAAAGGATGTAGAAAATATATTTACAGAAGATGAAATATCAACATTTATATTGCATATTAAGCAAAATATATTAGACATTGGCATCATTTTGTTTTGTCATTAAAAGTTTATACAAATTTCAAACCGATTACTTAACTTTCTTTTAATAATATATGTTGTTACTTTATAATAAATAACAAACATAAATGTGACCATTTTGTACGACGATTGTAAATTACTCTTTGATAGTGCATTTCAAATATAACCTCTATTATATTTTGTAATATAACATATCGATAATATTCTTATATACGGGATAATTTAAAAACCACACTTTGTATTATGAAAACAATAAAAAAATGATAAAATATATTTAATATTTGTTTGTTTAAATATAAATCATAAATTATTAAATGTGATCCTGCACATAATACAATACATGTGATGTATGATACATCTATAAAACTACTGTATTTCTATACAATTTTATTGGACTTTCTTTACAGTATTTTAATATTTTATAAAATATTGATTTATAATAAATAATTTATTGAATAAATAAAGATGTTTTCTATATTGTAAAGTTATAAAAATAACATGTTTATAGTTACATATAACACAGTTAATACGTCTATAAATGTGTGTACATGCTGCATATAGCGCACGCGCATATGTATAGTTCATTCGTAAATAGTATATGTGTATTATGAAAATAAATGATTAAAAAGAAACATAATTTGATATATATATATATGGTTTATTATGTATGATTTTACAAAGAAATTTTTTAGCATAAAAAATATTTTTATTTTTATTCGTTTTATAAATAAAAATTATGTATAATACATAAAAAATCAATTGTATTATATGATAACTTTCTTTGGTTTATTAGACTAGATTATGATAATAAACAAAAAAATTATTGTATGCATTACAGTATACCATTTTTCACAGAAAACTTTTTACCTTCAAAATATTTTTTTCATTAAAAAGTGGACATACTTGTAAATTTGTATAACTTGTCTAGATTAAAATTACAGTATCACATATAGTTGCATGAATTTTAATCTTGAGTTAATTTAATTTTAAGATTTTATCTATATCAGAATCTAAGTCTGACATTTCTGATATAGATTCTGTATGTAAAATTTCAGACATTTTATTTGTTAAATTACGCGGCGCTGGTTGCGGTAAAAAATCGCTTGTTTTTTTAGAATTTGATATAGACGCTTGAAATGGACTTACTAAAAGAGGGCCTATACTAGTGGAATTGATTTGTTCATTATTGTTATTTTGATTTTCATTATTTTGCATGTACTTTGAAGAAAATATTGTTTCAACTGATCCTACAGGCTTTTGTCTTACCATATTTAGCTGAAATAAAATACTTATATGTAGATGTCATTAAGCATTAAATAATATAATATTCTATAATATTTTACCTGTGCTTCAAGTTTCTTTGATATTTCTGCTATTTTATCACTTTGTGCAGTTTTAAGTATGATATTATTTGAACTTCTATAACCTTCTGATTGAGACAAATGCTTTTTCTCATTGAAAATACTAAATAAAATATAGTTATAGTAAATACAAAATTAAATATAGTTTCAAATAAAAATTTATTTAGAAAGACAACATCACTATTTATTTCCTATATGAAACATGAATGAATAACTCACCTTGAAGTATTCCAATTATTTTCATTTAATTCTTTATTTTCTACTCCTGTTTTATCATCATCAGAATATGATTCTCTACTCTCTTTATTTGTTAAATCAAAAATAACTTTTTTCTTTGTTAAGCTACTTGTTGAACCAATTGTAGATTTTAAAACACTTTTATTATGTTTTGGAGATATGAAAATATTCTGTAATTCCTGTTGTACATTTGAATTATCTATACTATTATTCTCAACAGATTTATTACTTAATACAACTTTATCTTTTGATAGCATTGTAAGTGTTTCCAAGCCATGTAAAGGTTTCATTTTATCCAAAGAATCTCTTCCTATTTGAGGCTCTTGTGTCTTTTTTGTATGTTGTATAGTTTCTGAAGATTTTATTACACTGGGAGACATTTGTACCAATTTTTCTATAGTTTCAAAATTTGAAGTTTTTGTAACTTTCGTAGGTATTGATTCATTTTCAATTATATCTTTAATCAAATCTTTTACTTTTGGTGTAGAATGAAATTTATTTGATGTCATTTCTTGTAATGTAGAAATATGATAATCTAAAAAAAAAATGATTAAATTCATTTTTTTTAAAGAAATTACATCTATATATGAAACATAAAAATTACCAGGATCCTGTTCATTGCTAAGTTTTTTTGTCACCATCGATTTAACATTAGTTATTGGTTTATGTAAAGGTAATTTTTTTGGTTGTTTTATATTTTCTGTAATTTTTCCCTCCCTAGATATTTTATCAAGAATTTCTTCAATTATTTTTAGTTTAATTTGATGATATTTTAGTGTCTTCTGTAGATAATTAATTAAGTTTAATTATATACACAATATAAGTTTTAGTAATTAAAAAATAAATTTTAGGTAAGAAGATAATATTTTATATATGCTTTTCTTACTTTTGCTGTTAGTTTGTGATGGTGCTTTAAAATATCCATTTTTTGTTTGAATGTTGCTTTTGGTATTCCCTGCCATTCTGGATCTATTCCTAAATCTCGTAATTTCTGTTCAAAAGCATCCTTTATACTAGATTGTAGTTTTCTATGAAATGATCCATGTTCTGTTGTTCTTTTATACTTTGAAGAACGCGGTGAATGTGTTTTATTTTCATGTAATGGAGAATTGTGAATTGTAGTAACACTTTCTGTATTTGAATCAGAGATAAATGATCCCGAGTTTGTTTCAGAAGATAGATTGTCTTCTAAAGATTTTAATGTTTTGGTATTTTTGATATTAGATAAAAACTCATTGGACATACTGTTATTAAAAGTATTTTTCAGCTTACTTATACCAGATTCATTTAAATCACTTTTTGTAATTGAATAATTATATTTTGTATCTTCATAATTATCTCTTTTTTCAAATATTGAATCTGATGAACTTGAACTATCATATTCTAAATTTTTTTCGTCAATTTTTATATGATTACAGTCTGTGTTATTTGCACTTTTTGTATTCCTTTCTTTAATGCTCTTTTTATCATTACAAATAATAGATTTATTTTTAGGATTCAAGGTATATATATTTTTTAAAAATTGACTTTCTGTTGTTAATGGAAATATTTTACTTGATAAATTTGAACTTGTAGTATTGATTGTATCATTTCCAATTATATTAGATGAACTGTACTTCCTTGGTGAATTATTTTCAACATCTTCATTTTTTTCATTTAATTGTGAAACATTTATTTCGTGTGTTAGAGAATTTAATTGTTTACTCTGTTCAATTAAAATATTTGATTGATTTGCAGTTTGACGTTCTAAATCACTAACTTTTGTTTCATATTTGGTTTTCATATCATCAGCTCTATTCTGTGTTAATTTTAATTCTGTGGTAAGTTTCTCAACATCTTTATGATGTTGATTTTCTAATTTTTCTATTTTTGACTTCCAATAATTTTCTTGAGCATATAATTTTGCATGCATATTTTCTATATCTGGAGTAAGCTGTTAAAAAAAAAGTTATCATATTTGTTTTATAAAAAATTGTTCTACTTACTTTTTCAAAAAGTTGATTCTTTAACTTTTGAAATTCCTTTTCTTGCTGATTTATTAATGCTTGAACATTTGTTTCAGAAGTATATTCATACATGGTTTTTTCTCTTTGTTTTAAATTCTGTTCAATTTATTTATTTATTATTATTGTTATTATAATATAAATCATGCATAAAAAATTGTTTAAGTTTGTTTACTTTATACATACATGTATTTCATCAAAAAGCATAGTTTTTAAATTTTTTATTTCTTCCTGATATCCTTTATACTCTGAATATTCTTTAGATTTATTATTACTGTATTTAAGATTTTCAATTTCATTTTCAACTTGCCTTTTATCATATTCTAATATTTTTCTTTCAGGAATTTTTTCAGACTCATTTCTTATTACTCTTTCTGTTTCATTTAATCTTTCTTTCAAATTTTTTATTTCATTATGTAACTTTTCAGTTTCACTGCGATAATGTTCATGTATAGGAGAAGCAGTCATGTATAAATTTGATGCATAAGCATGACGACGTATAATATGGGCACTTACAAACATAGGGGATATAAAAGTTTTTGGACAATGTGGACACTGAAAAAATTGTAATAATTTATGCAAAAAATAAGGTATTAAAATAACACTTTTACATCATTATAATGAATATTTTTTTTGGAAAAAAATATACAAAATTTTATTTAAAATAAAGTAATAATTATAATTTTATTACTTTATGAACTTCCCCATTAATATCTCCAATTTTAGTTTCCATTAATTTACTCCTTTCTTTTGCTTTTTGTTTTATATGTTTTACTACTTCCTCCAAACTAGCTATTTCTTTTTTCAATTTTACATTTTCTTCAATTTTTAATCTTAATTCATCTTTTAATATCATTACACTATGATCTAAATATTGTTTACAATATAATAAATATTCAACTGCTAATTGTGCAAGGCAAAAAAGTTTTACGAAATTGGGGTCCAAGATTTTAACATCATATTCACTTTCTAAACAATAATCTATTACATTATTTATATTGTCATCAATGGAGTGAAAGTCTCTTTCTCTTATAATTCGATCTATATCTATATTACCTAGAATGAATATATTTTAGATATATTTATTAAAAATCATCATATATTTGTCATGGTACATACTTATACGATTCCAATCTACTCTTACTCTGGATCTATGCATATTGAAATAAAATCCAGATTCCTTTGCCAATTTCGGAAAATCATGACACCATTTCGTGCCAATACGAAATGAAAATGCCATTACTGTATTTATAAGTCGGCTTATACGTATTTATACATTATTTTTAGATATGATTTTACAACTATTAATTAATTAGTAATAAAAAATTATAAAATGCAGTAAATGCAAACTGTATTATTAGCGTCATCATTTTTGTATTTACAAATAAATAGTTCTACTATAAGAAGAAATAACAAATAAAATAACTGTTTATTGTTCTTACATATTTTAAAGGTTAGAAGGAAACGTAAACAAAGTTTAACAGGTGTAATGTGTATAAAAATCATGCTTTACAATTATGTGTATATTTTATATTCTCAATTATAATTGGAAACTTTAGAAATAGG